TGATCTTTTTTAGCCGAACGGGCCAAACCAATGTCATCGGAGACGCTGCAAGCAACAACACATTCATGCCAACGCGCCGGAACGCAAATATAAACGATCCGATGCCGTATTCCACGACGATGTCCAAGTGCACCCTGCGTCCCAAAAAGTATTCACGGCCGAGGCTGAACAACGAGTGGTGCATGCGCGAAGCAACTGCCCATTGTAGTTCTCCTGTTCAGCCTGGCGATCGCCAACGCCTTGTCCTCTCATCGAACCGACGCGGGCATTCGCATCGACCAACAGAACACTCCTGTGGCCTCTCAACTGGGCGGCTCCGGTCAACTGCACGACACGATACAAAAAAGCATGCTTGGCCTCAACGGCAGCTCCCTAATGAGGCGCATGCCCCACAATGACCTGCACAATGCCCTTGGGGCTGCGTACGCGCACCGCGGCCTCAAGGAGGCGGTGATTGTGCGGCACCCAAACCTCACTCAGCACGCAAACGCCAGCACCGGCGAATCCACAGCTGAGTGCCGTAATTGCCGCGCTCGTTGCAACTGGCACTATATCGATCATACACGAGACACGGAACAACTTCTGAGCGCTGCGTCCTGGTCTCCTGCGCTCCAATCACACCAAAAAACCCGACACGTCGAACTGCATTCCCATAATCTGCACACGTCCGTGCCAAACACTGTAGCTATGAGGGCACTCGCCCACTCCCTGAGCGCCGCTCGCAAGATTACCTTTGCCGAGGGTGCAAACGTCAGCAGTACCTACACGTCGTTCATTCTGAAATCGTGCTCATTTATAACTGTAATCGCTTCTAATTGTTCTTGGCCCCCTAGTGGCCAGGAAGAGGCCCAGGATAGAACACTTCGAAATGAAAGGATCTCGGCCCCCAAAAAAACATAGGACTCTCGAAGAATTAGAAATGAACAATGCGTGGCAAAACTCCACCCGACGCAAGCGCTACGCACGGTGTTTCGGGCCCCTCGCTGTCACCGTCCATGGGCACCGGTCGGCCCACCGCGACGGCAGGGTGGAAATTTGCAGGGAGTGGCGGCGTTCCCTGAAAATGCTTCCCACGGAGCCTCACTCGAGGCTCTGCGGCACGGGCGGCCCCCGGCACGGTCTTGCCCAGGGGCGCCAGCGCAGGGTCACCGGAGGATCTCTTCAGCCCAGCCGAGGGAGGGCAGGTCGCCTGCCCGCCTGCCGTCTTCTGCGCCTCGTTCGCCACCTGCCGGATGCCGACCAGGACCTTCATCATGGCCTCCTCCGCCTGCTGGCAGATGAACTCGGGCACAACGGGGGATGCCTTAGGTCCTCCATGATACTCCGCATGGACGTGGACAGCCGCTCGATGGAGTCCCCACCCTTCTCGCTCGAACTCTCCACGGAAATGCAATTCCGGATTCTCGCCACATCAGCGTTCAGCCAATCGACCTGTTCGTTGGCCTTCCTGAGATCCTCCTGAGCGGCCTGGAAGGCAGCGCGCGCACCCTCGCGCGCCTCCTGCGCCCTGTGACGCAAGAGGTTTCGATATCGATCAGGTGATCGCCCTCTTGTTCGCCGCGATCTTGTCCGTCAACCTTCGGCGGACGTCTGCATGCTTCTCGGCCTCGCGAAGCGTCATCAGCGCAGGCTCGCACTCTTGGATCGTAGCGACAGCGTGAGCAGTCGCATCGACCTTGGCTTGATTCCCGCTCCCATGCCCACCTGGATGCACGGGAGGAGTGGGCCTGGCTGGACTGGTGGCCGCCGTAGTCCCAGGTCCTCCCGTCGGACTTGATCAAGGTGGACTCGGCGAAGGTGACGAACCTGCCGCAACGGTCGTGCGAGAGGAGGCACCTGCGTCTGGAACTGATCGGGCACCCCATGCCCCACTCGAACTCGTCGTCGACGCTGTTACCCAACTCTTCTTCGACCCGCACCGCCTGCACTTGCTGTTACCTTTCGGATTCCAGTACTTGCATGGGCACTGCCAGCAATGCATCTCCCATCCCTCACTTGCCTGAACGATCGCATTCCAAGAACTGCTGGCCCACCAATTCCACGCCATGACCGTGCACTACCACGAATCAAGTGTAAGGGAATGGTGTTACAGTATTGGGATTGACCCCTTCAGCTTAACCACTTCAGCTTGACTCCTCCTCCTCCTCCTCCTCCTCCTCCTCCTCCTCCTCCTCATCATCATCATCATCATCATCATCCATCCTCCTCCCCCCCTCCTCCTCCTCCTCCTCCTCCTCCTCCTCCTCCTCCTCCTCCTCCTCCTCCTCCTCCTCCTCCTCCTCCTCCTCCTCCCTCCCTCCCTCCCTCCCTCCCTCCCTCCTGCCTCAAGCGAAAGCGGCCCAGGGCGCCTCCATAGCCATTTGACAGTTTGGCTTCTGGATTGTCTCGCCGTCACGTCCCGGCGCTTTGTCGCGGCGTGCTTGCAACTACTGCAGTTGGCGCCTTTGGCATCAAACTCCAGTCAACCAAGATTGGGACAAACGACTCGTAACGCGTGTGAGTCAGGCTGTCTCTCCTCAGCAGCTGGTGCTGGCTGGGCCTTGGTTCACTCCTGTTCCCCGAGGGCGGCGTCCATCCCAGGTGCAGGTCTGGGCGGGCTGTGCCAAGCAAGCCCATCTGCACCTAGGCGCGCCTCAGCTGTGGGGCTGCAGTGGAACATGTTGTGTTTGAAGGGGCCCCGGGACACACAAATAAATACACACAAATAAAAGGATTCCCCATATTTTCCAATATTTTCTGGGTTTCTGTCTTCCCCCCCACTGCCCATACTTTCCCATATCTTCTAGGGAATCGACGATTCATTGTGTCTGTGTGTTTTTTCTCCTCCTGAGTGTTCGTGTGCTTGGGCTGGTTCCTTCCTGCACTTCGCGGGCGGCCATTCGTCCCAGGCCGGTGGAGGTCCCGGCGGGGCGTGCCCAGCCAGACCCTCTCTGCCTGGGCGCACTTCAACTCTGCAGCTGCAGTTGGAGTAGGCGGATTCACTCTCGGTGCTCCATGAGATGTGCGTCAGCCCGTGCGCTCCAGCCTTCGCAAGTATGTATCTCATGCGCTCCTCTCGCTTACACTCGGTGTGGCATTTCTGGAGGTGCACCACGAGCGCTGGTCATTGTGCAGGCGCCTGATTTCAGATTCCCTGCGTGGCCTGGCGCGGGCGGCTGTTGTGAAGCTACTCAACGCCTTTGGTGGGTGGATTGTGACTCGGCAGTAATGCTCGGGTGGATCCTGTTCAACCGTTTGCCCAGCCGCTGGTTTCCAGCGGTGTCAGGAGATATTGCTCGTCGTATACTCAGGTCGGCCTGCACTCTGTACGGTAAATTTCTGTGCGCGGTGATTGAGAAGCCTATACGTACAAGTTGCGCTTCAATGTGTGATATGCCATTCGTGTTGGCTGCCACTTTTCTCGTCACGCATAACGTTCGGGCAATGTGTGTGTGTTTCCCTCCCGCCGTTCACGGAGCCATTATTCACATATGGGCATGCTGTTTCCTCATTGGCTTGTGTCAGAATGTATTGGGCCAGCGGTGCGGGACACAAAGTATGCGTCGCCTTGGACAGAGGAACCTGAAATAACGGTGAACGCCCAGAGCGCAGGCCGGGTCGTGGGGCACTACTGCGTGTCGCGTGGCTGCTCCCTCGGAGCGGGAGGCATCGACTGCCAGTTGCACCGCCTCTGTGTCGTACTCCTGCTTCTACTCCTGCTCCCGCTCCTTCCGTCTCCTCGCGTGCGGTCCAGGTATTATGGAGATACCCCTCCGCGGGTATTCTGGAGATACCCCATCAGCGGGCATTCTGGAGATACCCCATCAGCGGGTATTCTGGAGATGCCCCATAAGCGGGCATTCTGGAGATACCCCTCAGTGGGGAACCCAGGAAAGGCACTTGGGAGGTGCCTGCGGGCAGCCCAGGAATCTCCTCCCTCCCTCCGCCCCACCCGCCCCTTCGCCGAGCCCCTCTGGCGCTGGAGAAAAGAGGGGAGGCCCCCCAGACGGCTCGGGGGGAGGGGGGCGCCACTCGGAGGGCACCAACTCCTCCTCCTCCTCCTCCTCCTCCTCCTCCTCCTCCTCCTCCTCCCCCTCCTCGTCCTCCTCCTCGTCCTCCTCCTCCTGCCCCTCCCCCTCCCCCTCCCCCTCCCCCTCCTCCTCCTCCTCGCCCAGCCTGGCCCCACGATCGGCGCACACGCCCCCCAGACTTGGGACGGGAAGGCACGTACACCGATGCTGGGCCCAGGGCTTGGCGCATGTTCTCAATCCTCACGGGCTCTCAGTGGAAGCCGAAGGATTTTGGCGAGATCCCGCACCGAGGGGTCCCGGGGGCGGAGTGCGCCCCTACTCAGAGCTAAGAGCATTTCGCGCCAAGAAAATCAGCTACACTCGAAGCGTGTCCTCGACACAAGTCCAGGTCCAGATTTACAATTCCCACGAAAAAAAAGCTCCAAGAAAACGCCCGGGGTCCAGTCCAGATTCGTGATTCTCTTCCACAAAAGCTGGAGTCCATGACATCTGCTGTTTTTTCCTCGGATTTCTGATGGGTGTATCACTCCCAGGGGGCGAGAAGCGACATATATATATATATATATATAGATAGATAGATAGATAGCTTCACCGAAAAGGGGCGGGAGGGGGCACGCTCGATCATTGCTCCTCACGGTCATGCAGAGCTGGCGCCCTCTGGGTCGTGGCGCCGAGGGGGCGCGCACCCCGCAGACCTGACAGACGCCCACCCGCGCAGGCGCGGAGAGGGAGAGAGGGAGGAGGAGCGCGAGGAGGACGGCGAGGAGAAGGAAGAGAAGGAGGAGGAGGAGGAGGAGGAGGAGGAGGAGGAGGAGCCGCAGGAGCAGGAGGAGGAGGAGGCGCCAGGAGGGGAGAGGGAGGAGGAGGAGGAGGAGGAGGAGGAGGAGGAGGAGGAGGAGGAGGAGGAGGAGCAGGAGCAGGAGCAGGAGCAGGAGCAGGAGCAGGAGCAGGAGGAGTAGCCAGGGCCAGAGCCAGAGCGCGGGCCGCCGCCTACTCCGCCGCCAGGATGTGGCGCGACCTGCCGCGCCGCCGCGGGCGTGGGGGGTCGCGCCGCGTGGGCGGAGCCGCAGTGCGGGTGCTGCTGGAACTCAGTGGGGGGCCCAAAAATACACCACCACCACCACCACCACCGCCACCACCACCACCACCACCACCACCACCACCACCACCACCACCACCACCCACCACCACCACACCACCACCACCACCACCACCACCACCACCACCACCACCACCCACCACCCACCACCACCACCACCCACCACCCACCACCACCACCCACCCCACCACCCACCACCCACCACCCACCACCACCACCACCACCACCACCACCACCACCACCCCCACCACCACCACCACCTCCTCCCTCCTCCCTCTCGCTGGGCCCCCAGACTAGGGAAGCAGCTCCTGGGAGGTCCTCATAAGAACGACTGGTTGTGTTTGCACATTCGGGGAAACGTGTCTGTCCCGTCGCGCCCTTCAGCCGCGTCGGATCCATAACGAATCCATGTCGGACTCGCCGTATCCGCGTTGAATCTACGTCGAACCCACGTCGAATCCGGCCAAATCTGCGTCGAATCCGCGTCGAGCCCACGTCGCGCACAAGAGGAGTCACCGATTTGAGAGAAGACGAGGTCCACCAAAGACGCAACGTAACGAATGCGGATGATGAAACCCGGAAAAAACATTAAGCCGGGGTAGGCCGGATCCGGCCCAGGACTAAGCCAGATTATGCTGGATGAATCGGAATGGAGCCCGATTGAGCGGGATCTGGCCAGATCAAGCGGGATAAAAGCTGGGTCAGGCCAGGGCTCTCGACCACGGATAAACCAGCGCCGACCAGCTTCTCGCACCCCTTCGGAGCCTCTGGGGCCCCCTCGGCCTCGCAAGGGGTACTCTGGAAGCCATCTGCGCCCCCCCCCTGGGTAAGCTGGGGGACACCTTGGTCCCGGGCCATCTTCTAGCAACACGAGAACGGTTGGTCTCGATGCGCGAGCCAAGGCCGCCTTGCCCGCCCAAGCCCGGCCTAGCCCCTCCTCCCAGGGGGGCGGACGAGAGGGGAGGGGAGAGCCAAGACGCAGCCCAGGGCCAGAACAGAGTCGGACAGGGACGCATCGGGGACCTCTGAGATCTGAGGGTTCTGCGAGGCTCTCTCGAGCGCCGCGTCTCCATCCTCCCATCCCTCCTCCTATCCTTCTTATTCCTTCCACTTCTCCTCCTCCTCCTCCTCCTCCTCCTCCTCCTCCACCTCCCTCCCTCCCTCCCTCCCTCCCTCCCTCCTCTCCCTCCCTCCCTCCCCTCCCTCCTCCTTCTCCTCCTCCTCCTCCTACTCCTGCTCCCCTCCTCCTCCTCCTCCTTCTCCCTCCTCCTCCGCTCATTTCGGCACACCCTGACACGTTTCGGCCTCACAGGGAGCTCCAACCGAAGGCCCACTGCCGCCGCCCGCATGCGCCCACCACACAACACCCACACACACACACACACACACACGACACACCACACAAACACACCACACACACACACACACACACACACACACACATTTCGGCACACCCCTCACACGCTTCGTGGCTCCCTAGGGAGCTCCACCGAAGGCCCCAGTGCCAGTGTCCGGCCATGCATGCGTCGGCACACCCCTCACACGTTTCGTCCATAGGGAGCTCCACCGAAGGCCCAGTGCAGCGCCGCATGCGTCCCCACACCATTTCGGAACATCCCTCACACGTTTCGTGGCCCCATAGGGAGCTCCACCGGAAGGCCCCAGTGGCCGCGGCCGCATGCGTCCCCCACACCCATTTCGGCACACCCCTCACACGTTTCGTGGCTCCATAGGGAGCTCCACCGAAGGCCCCAGTGCCCGCGGCCGCATGCGTCCCCCACACCCATTTCGGCACACCCCTCACACGTTTCGTGGCTCCATAGGGAGCTCCACCGAAGGCCCCAGTGCCCGCGGCCGCATGCGTCCCCCACACCCATTTCGGCACACCCCTCACACGTTTCGTGGCTCCATAGGGAGCTCCACCGAAGGCCCCAGTGCCACCGCCCGCATGCGTCCCCCACACCCATTTCGGCACACCCCTCACACGCTTCGTTCCACCGAAGGCCCCAGTGCCACCATCTGCATGCGTACCCCACACCCATCTCGGCACACCCCTCACACCTTCGTGGCCCCATAGGGAGCTCCACCGAAGGCCCCAGTGCCACCGCCCGCAGCGTCCCCCACACCCATTTCGGCACACCCCTCACACGTTTCGTGGCCCCATAGGGAGCTCCACCGAAGGCCCCAGTGCCACCGCCCGCATGCACCCCCACACCCATTTCGGCACATCCCTCATACGTTTCGTGGCCCCATAGGGAGCTCCACCGAAGGCCCCGGTGCCACCGCCCGCATGCGTCCCCCACACCCATTTCGGCACACCCCTCACACGTGTCTTGGCCCCATAGGGACCTCCACCGAAGGCCCCAGTGCCACCGCCCGCATGCGTCCCCCACACCCATTTCGGCACACCTCTCACACGCTTCGTGGCCCCATAATGGAGCTCCACCGAAGGCCCCAGTGCCACCGCCCGCATGCGCCCCCCACACCCATGTCGGCACACCCCTTCACACGCGTCGTGGCCCCATATGGGGCTCCACCGAAGGCCCCAATGCCACCGCCCGCATGCGCCCATCGCACGCTTCGTGGCGTCATCGGGAGCGCTTCGCATGCGGATGCCCGCCCATTTCGGCACCACCCCCATACGCTTCGTGGCCTCATGGGCAGCTCCTTCGCGCCCACTTCGGCAGACCCCTCACACGCTTCGTGGCCCTATAGCGAGCACCACCCAAGGCCCCAGGGGCAGGGTTCGCATGCGGTCCCCCGCTCACTTCGGCACACCCCTCACACGCTTCGTGGCCCCATGGGGAGCTCCACCCAAGACCCCAGCGGCAGGGTTCTTATGCTGTTCCCCGCCCATTTCGGCACACCCCTCACACGCTCTGCGGCCCCATAGGGAGCTCCACCAGAATCGGTGCCACAGCGCGGTGCTCACAACTGCACATGGGTGGGTCCTTCGCCAGGATACCTTGTATTCCGAATGCCTCCTGAGGGTGCTCTTTGGGCCGTCTTCGCGCGTCTGGTGGGTGTCGGGGGCCGCTTGGGGCTCCCGCGGGGCCGTTCGGGCACCCTCCGGGCCGCTCTGGGCCCGGGGACCCTGCGCAAATGCGTGCAGGGTGTCCCTGGGGTCAAGAAATCGGGGGTCCAGTTTTTTGAGGGGAGGTCTTGTTACGGGCGGTTTGTGCAGACATTGCCACACGGATGGGCACGCGTGTCGTCGCATCCCTCTTCCTCCTGATGCTCTTCTACTTCCTCTCCCTCGTTGTCCTCGCCGTCGCCGCCCTGTGTTCTTCATCATCCTCCTTCTCACCCTCCGTCGTCTCCTCTTCCTCTCTGCCTCTGCCTCTGCGCAATCAGATAGTCGTTGTGCGTCATTGGCTGGTGGGTTTCACCTCTTCCATTTGTTACCCCTTTCCTTGGGTCGTTGGCCAGTGGGTCTTCCATTTCCCCGCCTCCCCCATCACTTTGTCAGGTGCTCGTTATTTGCTTTTTCTTTTTTTCTCTCTCTCTCTCTCTCTCTTCATCTCTCTCCTATTCCCTCCTCCGCTCCCTCCTCTCCTCACTCTCGCATCTCTCCGTCGTGCCCCTTCTTACCCTCCTCCTCTCCCTCCACCGCCGCCCTTTCTCGTCCCCTCCTCGCCCCTCCCCCTCCCCGCCATCCCCCGCCCCACCCCCTCGCCGCGGGCCAGGCCCAGAGAGAGCAGGAGGCAGGGCGAGCGACCGGTCCAGCCACTGGCTCCACCGCAGCTGAGCCTTGGGCGAGCCAGCGCGCGGTGGGGCGGGGCAAAGAGGGCAGCGAGGCTCTCGAAGGTGAATGACAGTCAACCAGTACAGTAAGGTTTATTTTTTATTAGGCAGCGTAGAGGGCCGTTTCACGATGTTTGAACTCGCTCGCCAGTGAAAAGATTCCTTGACACTCAGCTCTACTCGCAATCGCCTCGCTGTCACGCCCCAGAGCGTGGTCCCTGAAACGGGTAAAGGATGCGCGATAAGGATGCAAGGGTACCCGTATAGTAAGGATGCGCGATAAGGATGCAAGGGCCGTGGGCGCCCATTTCGAAGCTTTTCGACCGGGGCGCGGCCAACCGAAGTGGCCGAGGATGGACCGAGGAGGCAGGGATGCAAGGGTACCCTTTGGAAGGTTGCCCATCCTCACTATGCGGGTTGACTGTAGTCGGCGTTTCGACATTGGGCGGAAGGGGGGGAGAGGGGCGGGGGTCTGGCTCCAGACCTCTGCTTCATGCGACTGTTTTTGCAACAGGGCGTCCATCATGGGGGAGGCTCCACCTGCTCGAAACAGGCGCCCTGAACAGCCAAGATCTACTCCAGGGAGGGGGGGAGGGGGGGGAGGGGGGGGTGCGAGGACACGCGCCGATCGGCAAAACAAGAAGGAATAAGAAAACGATTACAAGGCGGGCTTCGGCCAGTTCGAAGACATGTCGTTAGTTGTCGCAGCGATGTGTAACACAGCGCGCTCAAACCAGGACGGGCCACGGACGTTCGAACAAAAGCTCGGATCAGCGCAGAAGCGGCTGCCGGAGTCTGCGAGTCCGTCCGAGACGCGGCGCTGACTCACAGCCAGCAAGCGCTCTGATGCAAACAAACATCGACGAATGACGAATGCTCAACAAAGAAAGGCACGGCAACAACAGCAGCAGCAACGAGAGCATTCCGCCAGCGTGACCCCTGACACGTTGGGGCGTGCAGTGCCAAGTGCTGCCTGGTACGGTTTCTACAGTCAACCCGTCTAGTAAGGATGCGCGATAAGGATGCAATGGCCTTGGGAACCCATTTCGAAGCTTCCCGACCGGGGCGCGGCCAACCGAAGTGGCCGAGGATGGACCGAGGAGGCAGGGATGCAAGGGTACCCTTTGGAAGGTTGCCCATCCTTACTATGCGGGTTGACTGTATATCTTTCTGAAGGCCCCCCCTGCCCCCTCGGAAAGCACCCCGGGTCGCGCACCTCCCCCTCTTCCCGAGGCCACAATCTCGCACAACATGCGACAGAGTCGCGCCCCCAAGGCCCGGATGCCTCCAAGACGGCCCGATATCGCTCAGCGACGGCGCACTAGGACGTCGAGGCGTCCCAAGAGCCGTCCCAAGAGGGCCTCGAGGGGCACAAATTATGGATGTCCTGTGGTTGTGCTCCGTTTTTCGGCGTCTCGCGTCGTCGAGCTCCCGACGTCCCAGCACGACCCAAGAGGCCACCAGGACTGGCCCAGGACAGCTAAAGGGGCCCCCAAAGGGGCCCCAAGACGACCCTCCAAGACGGCCGAAGAGGCACCCAAGCCTGCCCAAGGCCCCGAGAAGAGCCCAAGAGTGGGGACACGAACAAAGAATTCGAGCCTTCTGCCCCGAGAGACCCCCAGCAGGCCCCCTTGCCTTCTCGAAAAACTGCCACCCAGAACGCTGCGCTGGCACGGTGGCGGAATTACCTGAGGCAGCTGGATAATTGGCAATAGCATGAGTTGCTTCCTGCTTCCGGATCATGTTGGTATATCTCAAAGTCCCGCGATATGTCCACGCCCTCATCCTCATTGTTCGTGCCCCCCGTGAGCCTCCTGTGAGTCCCCGCCCCCGCTGCGAATGACTTGAGCTGATCCCCATATTGGCAGGAGGAGGAGAGAATGGAGGATGGGTGGCGGGGGCGGGGAGGTGCACGGCAAGAAAGATGAGAGACGAACAAAGGAAGGAAGGAGGGAGTGATGATGACGAGGTCGAGAGGAGAGACGGGGGAGGAAGACACAGGAGGGAGGGAGGAGCCCAGGGAGGAGGGATGCAGCACCGCCGTGCCAGCCCTGACGGGTCAGCCTCGGTTCTTACCTCCGCGCCGACGCCTTCGGCGAGCCTTGGGTTCCGAAGTCCCTGCTCCCGCTGAGGGGGAGAGCTGCGGAAGCCCGCCCCGATGCTTCGTCGAGGCGAGGAACCGCCCGCTGCCCTTTCTAAAACAGGGCTGGGATCGGGATAAACCGCTCCAGAGCGTTCCAGAGCGCTCTCAGAGCGTTCCGGAACGCTCTGGAGCGGCCGCGGCGCCCAATACATCCTCCAAACCCGCCGACCCTCTGAGATTTCGAGTTATCCCGATCCGATGGTGTCCCGATCTTCGCGTCGTTTTGCTTTCCACCGCGCGGCTGGCCGACGGGCCACCCGCGGGCGCGGGCTCCGCTCCGCGAGCCCCCCGGCTCTCCTCGGTCGCTTCGCGCGGCGCCGGCACGCGCGGAAGTCTCTGACGCCACGTCGATCGCGCAGCCTTGAACTCGCCATCGCTCGGACGTCCATTCCCTGTGTTTTTGTTCGGTTTCGTGCGTGGCTTTTTCGGCAAATGGTCAAGGATGCTCCTCGGTGGTCCTCGCCGAGGAAAAAACGCACACGTCCGAGCGACGCCAGGTGAAACGATCGCGGCGCCGATCGTTCAGAGCCGAACTCCGTCCAGCCCAGCGGCGCCACCGTGCCACTCGACGCTTCCGCACCGCAGAATTCGACACTGAACGCCTTCGCTGGCGTTGCCGGCGCGCCAACGCCGCACGAACCGACCCTAGCATGCGCCGCGTTCCGCCTTGCGGTAGATCTCTCCTCGGTCCCGCTGCGCGCCGCGGCGCCGCGAGCAGGCCGCCGCCGCCCTCGCCGAGGCGTCCAGCGGCGCGGCGGCCGCGGCACGGGCAGGCGAAGTGCCCTAGCGGCCTGGCGACGGAGCCGTGGACCAAGACATCCGGCTGCTCCAGGCTGCTCCAATGCTTGCGGCGCGTGGGCCTCGAAGGTCTGGACCACTTCCCTGGGACTGGGTCTTCATCCTGGATAGTTTTTTGACGCTCCCGAAGCCCAGCGGACGCCCCCGGCCGAAAGCAATCAAGAACCGCCCGCTTCCATTTTTGGGGGAGCGTGGGGGCGTTCCCTACCAGAGCTCCCGCCGCACGGCGGTGCCCTGGAAGGAACCCTGGCTGTCCGATCCTGACAGTTGCTCCTTAGGGGTTGCGCGGCCGACCCGCTCGCCTCGGGATTAGCCCGACTGTGCGGCCAGCGCTGCGATCCCGCCCTGCGCCTGCTTTTGTGTGACGAGCGGACAGCAGGCGCCCACCGCACTCGTGGGCGCCCTGGAGGGCGCCAGTCAATCCAGCGCCTTCGGAAACTGCGCGCGGCGCTGCGCAGCGACACGTGCAGAATCCGCCGCGCAGCCCCCAGCGAAGCGCAAGTCACCGAGAAGGAGTCGCGCCTGCCCGCGCACCAGCAGCCGCTCTCGAACCGCCGAACGCGCAGGTTTGCGGCGCGTGGGAGGTCCCCCGCCACGATCGCGCCCATGACCCTGGCCAGGGCCCCCCATCGTGGCCCATCTCTCCCAATGCAAAAGGGAGGTGGTGAGCGTGCACCACAGTTGTGAGGTTCGTCCGGATCTTCACAACCAATGTGGCCGGCGCGGCCCCGTCGGCTCCTCCCAGCACGCGTAGGTGGTGCTCGATCTCCTCGGCCACGAACTGCAGAAGCTGCTCGGATGACAGCGCGCGACGGACCAAGGGCCCTCGCCCGCCCGAGGAGGATCCACTCGAAAACTCGCCTGGTCACCACCGTCGTGACACCCTTTGTCGCCTAGGTCGCCACCCACTGTCCAAAAGCTTCCCTCGCGAGGCCGCGGTTTGTCTTCGTCGGGTCGGGTCGGACCCCGGTGCGCCCGCACCGAAGGTCACCCCGGCGAAGGGCCACTCTCAACGCGCAGTCCACCACTGCGGGTCGCCACTGGCTCGCCACTGCCCTGCGACGAGCATGCCACCCTGCGGGGGTGGGGCGCGCCCTGCTGGCCTCTTCCGCCTCGCCTCAACTACACCTCTGCCACGGCGCAGGCCTCGCCCGCGGAGGGCCGCACGGAGCGCAGAACCAATAGGCGAGCAGGCGGATTGTTTCCCAGGACAGAACACCTGGACGACACGATCCGAAGGAAGGTGCCCAAGGTGCCTGCATGAGTTCACATGCAGTCGGACCTCGCAGCATGAATGGCAGCACAGACACGCCCCAGGCGTCACGTCTGCGTAACCTGGAAGAGCCGAGGTTTCGCGGACTCCTCTTCTTCGGCCTCTTCCGCGCGGCCGACCACGACGAAGATGCCTTGCCGCCGACCTCCGTGGCCGTGGTCGCTTGCGCGCGGCCTCCTGGCGATGAGGCGGGGCGCCGAAGGGAAAAGCCCGCTGCGCGGGCGCCCCGTTAGGGTTCCCAAACAGTGTGGTGACAGACCGCGCGGTGACATCGGAATCCCACAGGACCTCACCGCACGGTCCGCCACCGCAAAGTCTTGGGAACCTGGAGGCCCCGGTCGCCCGAGACGTCCTCGGAGAACAACCCGAGTCCAAAACCCGTGCGAAAACCCCGAATCCCCACTGGCTCACCACGCGGTGTTCGGCGGCGAGCCTGGGGTGGAAGTGAGAAGGCGCGGTCCTTCGCAAAAAGGCTCAGAAGGCCTCGGGCCTCCTGAGAAGTCTCCGAAGCCTTCCCCGAAAATCACGGGAAACTTCTCAGAAGGCTGGAGTGCTTCTGAGAAGCCCCGCCGCCTACTTACTGAAGAGGCTGGCTCCTTCTCGCTTCCCCCCCGTGGCGCGCCGCCGAGGTGGGGGTTTGGGGGACCCCCGACCCTGCCCAGGCGGGCTGCCGCGCCCTGGCCCGCGCCTCGACGCTCGCCGCAGGGAGGCGGGTCGCCGCAGCCGAGCGGTGCGCGCTCCGGCGCTCGCTTTCTGCCCTCGCGAGGGTGAAGGGGCCCTGGGACACGCAAA